GCCTCTGTCTGACACCGCCTTATTTGTTTTTATTGATGTATTGACAAAACATATAGGCATCATCTGAACTTCCTTTTAAAATCAAATCAAAATTAAATCAAATTTGAGACTGTGATCAAAAGTTGTACCATATTAGTATTATTATCATTCTTTCTAATGTTGTTGATCGAGAGAGAGACAGAGATAAAACATAGAGAGAGTTTGGGATATATAGTCGGATGAGGGGGAGAGAGGGAAAGCGAGAGAGAGAGAGAGAGGAGAGAGAGAGATGATACAGAAGGACATAGAATGTAAATGACCGCACCTCCCCTCTCTCTCTCTTTCTCTCTCTCTTTCTCTTTCTCTCCTGGAATGTGTAGAATAAAGGAGAGGAGAGCAGAATAGACTGGAAAGGAATGAGAAAAATAAGAAAACGTAAAAGAAGATGGGGTGTCGATTATAAGGGAATCGAGAGAGAGAGAGAGAGAGAAAAGGGGGTACAGGGGTAATGTAAATGGCAGAGGCTGATACGCTAGAGCGCGCGAGAGAAGGAAAGGAATATATTATGTATATGCTGAAAGGGAGGGGGGTGCTGAAAAGGCTCGTATAACAAAAGAAAAAGGTCTATCCGTATTGAATTTACACACCGGACTTATGCTGTAAGGGGGGGGGGGTTGCTTGGAACACGCATATGCGTACCCTAAATAACACTGACTGGGGGCGGGGCGGGGGATAGGGATATAGAGATTTACAACCACTCTCACCCCCGTCTCAAAGTTAGAATTTATTGTAAAAACTTAATGAAAACGATTATCAAAATTCATTATACATGGCCAGAATAATCACAATCCAATCTTTGGTAATTCTCCGGATTCTGCCCAAAGTAGAGAAAAGGCCAGGAAAGATAATAGTTACGCATTGTTAGTGTTAGGTTTAGGTTCAAGCCGTGAAGGTGAGGGTTAGGTTTAGGGCACTGGCGCACTGATAAGGAGGGGGGGGGGCTGAAGGGAGGGGGCAGTTGACTCCCCAAATGAAATTCAAACGTGGTTTACTTCTAATTCGATACCCGTGATTTACAAATGTTGCTGAAATGACATGATTTTCCGGATTTTTTTTCTCACTTTTTTATAATGTATACTTTTGTATGCGTTTGATGGACAATGACTCATTCCCAAGTATACAGTCGGGCAAAAAATATGCTTATTAAGAAGCCTACATGTTAGGACATGCGGAACGGCGGTAATCGGGGGGGGGGGCTAGAGCCCCCCTCCTCTCACTTTTTTGAAAAAGAGAAATGAAAAGAAAGAAAGAAGGAATAGCGACCTGCCAGTGTCACAAAATAATGAGATATCAAAAATGCTCATCTAGGACCGTAATGTATTGCCTAAAATCCCTGAGCTTCTGGGGGCTCCGCCCCTGTACCCCAAGCCAATTAGTGACTAGTAGGTGTCACAAATAAGGTATCAAAATATGCCCATCTGACCGTAATTAAATGCCTAAAACCCCTGAGCTTTCGGGGGCTCCATCCTTTGATCCCCACCTGGGCTTTGCCCCTGGAGCCCACGCCAATTTATTCTCTACTCGCTCTTCCTGAGCGTAAATACTTTAGCCCCCCCCCCTCCCCATACATAGTCTTAGTTTGTTGACCTGAAATGACCTTTGACCGTGACTTTGTGACCTCAAATCTACTCACGTGATTGAGAATATAAGCTTTGGTTTCCCAGTCACTATCTAATTTTTTTTTTAAATTTTGAATCTGAGTTTCGTTTTATTATAATTGTTAATGTTGTTAATATAAGGAAATTTATACTAAAATTAGGAGCTTAAACCAAACGATAATTGACCCACAATGTTGGAGAACTCATTCATGAAATTCGAATGAAGCAGATAAAATATATATCGAAGCGTAATGTAGCCCTTGCCTTACTTTTTTCCCTTCATTTTTGTCCCCAGCGATGGTGGTAGTGAGTGTGCATGACTGGGAACGCATTGCTGTGGTGTGTGTGTGTGGGTGTGTTTTGTGTGCGTGTGCGTGTGTTTGTGTATGTGTTCTTTTGCATTTGTGGGGTGTGTTTTTGTTAGGGTTAGGTAGTAAGGGCAGGGGTTATAGTTTCTTTCTTATCATAGCTGATTTCATTCCACACAAAAATCGATTGTTATTTGTAAATTGTACCTGTATTGAGGGAATCGAATTATGTTATTATGATGAACAAAAATGTATTTCGAAGAATTATTTGTATTGTTCCAATATTTAATAATTTTGTAATAAACGTTACGGAATAGCAAAAATGAGAATGTGTGGGTTGGTGCCTGTGTAGTGATACACCAAGCAAACAATCAGCGAATCCTGACGTCCTTTTGACATTTGTTTTCAAGATGGAAATTCCTGCAGGACTCATTATTATTATATTTTAGTCTGCCAATGACATTGTGTGCAATTACTTTCCTGACTTGTGGCGGGAGGGTGAATCAACTTAACATTGTGCTTAAAGTAGATCATTGGAATGAACAACATGGGGCGATTGACCACGTTGACGTGTAAGAGGGATGATTTTAATATTATTTATAAATTACTATAGCCATGTAATAATTATTAAAGTATAACATCATGTAGGAAGGAGGATCTCTATGTCAAGTTGAAGACAAAATCATCACCCTACATTTGACGATTCTACAAGTAACCTTGCTCGCAGCATTACGAATTTTCTTCCCTAAGTTAAAAACATAGGCCAGAATTCACAAAGGAGGTTTGTCGACACCCCTTGGTTTTCGTACGTCATATATGACGCGTTTTCACGCGTATTTCACAAACCTTGTTTGTAAAGAACAAAGGAGGTTTGGCGAAACAAACCTTGGTTTGTCGACAAACCTCCTTTGTGAATTCGGGCCATTGTGTTCTGTTACTGATTTTGAGTGTAGTGTGTTTTTTTTCTTCTTTGTATATATTTTGTAAAGGATATAGATTTGCGTATGGACCCTGGATTCTTTTTTTAAAGAGAGAGAGAGAAGAGAGAGAGAGAGAGAGGAGAAAGAAGATGGACTTTGCCTGGTAAAAGAAGAAAGAAAACCGCATTTGAAAGGAATATTCTGAAAGAAACGTACCTTGATTGAAATCATTTGTAATGATGTTCACGCTGGTAGGTTTTTTTAATTTAAAAATAAAATCATTTTATGATCACTGATTGTGACGTCAGGCGCGTGGGTTCCTAGAAGCTCAAAACAGGTTTGTCGAATAGATTCTTTAGAGCAAAATTACAATAGAAAACTATTTGAAGTGTAAGCATGTCCAAATTTGGTATTACTTCGTTCCAATTTGATACAACATTCTTTGCTGAATAATATACGAGAAAACTAAAACAGACATTATAATACTGGAAAATGGAAACAATATTTTGGTTTCTTTTTATGACACTTAAAGG